AGAGAGAGAGAGAGAGAGAGAGAGAGAGAGAGAGAGAGAGAGAGAGAGAGATGCCGAGAACACAGGTTGGTCCAGTCCAGCGCGCTGGATAGCAACATGAGAGCTTCGGAAAGACCGGTGCGCTTCTTTTCAATTCATGCTTTGTTTCTTGCTGTTGCTTGCTTTCTGTTGTCTGTCTGTCTGTCTGTCTGTTTGCTATTCTCGCGTCCAGATCCTGGAGCCGGAGCTGGTTGCAGAAGACTTCATGACGTCTCCTGTCCTGTCATGCCAACCTAGCACCACCCTGCTGCAGGTATACCCATCCATCCGTCTGGTGTGGGGATTTTTTAGACTTGCGTCGCCTACAGGAAATGGTGTCTAGCGTGTTTTGGGGAGCTTTACTCCCCCGCGTGGGGGCGGAGCAGTCTGTAGCAAGCTTCGGGTCTGCGTGCAACCGTCGTATCTTGTCTCACCCCAAAGCCGCCTGTATTTTCGAACATCATAGCTTGGGCAGTCGCCTGTTTCGCGAGTATCCTGTACCTGAAGGCTTACCTTAACTAGCCTCGCCTTTCTGGAGCACCCTGGCTTGTGCCACCAGGATTTCATTCGTACGGTCTGCCTCTTTAAGCAGGGTACCCTCCAGCAGACGATGTAGATTCCAAGCTGCCGCCCCCCCCGTTTGTCACCCCACGGTGGCTTCGCGGAATGTAGCCCTGTCCGGCTACATACCCCCACCCTCGGACCTACAACCTACCCGCAATCCTCGCTCAAAGGGGCTCCGTGTTTCCCCCTGCCCCCTACCGATACAGGATCGATAGGTTAGGGAAACGTTTTTGGTCCACCTTTGGCAAAGTAGCAAGGAACGGTTGGCCATCGGTGATCGGTACTGTGGGAACAATGCTCGGTCCTCTCGAGGACGCGTGGACAATGGTCTACCCGCTAAGGCATGCAAAACAGAAGTACACCCCTCCCCCCCCGCCAACCTTAGGCCGAAGAGATTCTCCGAAGACATGGCCTCTACGCCTTGCCGGTGTTGGGGCAAGAGGGGGAGGAAGCCGACAAGCTTCTGGGGCTCATAACGTGCGCGGAAATTTCGAAGGCATTCAGGGTGAGAGAAAGAAAAGAGGCGTGCTTGCTTTTCGCGACGAGGTGTGATATACGGAATTGTTTGTTTTTTTCGTGGGGAGAGGGATAAGGTATCGATGGAAAGTGTTCCAAAAGTTGATGGTGAAGTCTGCAAGGCCTTCGTTCGGGGTGACATTTCGAAAGCTAATTGCTGAGGGTGATAACACGTTGTAAGGTTGAAAGCTCGAAACTTTTTTGGGCTAGGTTAAAGTTCCGGAGGACACGGGTTTTTTTGTCTTCACGGTGTTTCCTGCCGCTGTGTGGTGTGCCCCTGCCCCCTCTCCGTCACTCCCGGTGCGACTCTCTCTCTTGCTTGACATGTCCGCGTGCCATGGGCACGAACAACTGGATGCGTCTTCTGCTTGTGTGCGACAACCTCGATCGACCAAACGGCGGCGAAACAAACGAACCGGCAGAAAGACGAGCAGGGCGCTGCGAATAGACCGGTGACGGGGTTCATGCTGACCAAGGTGGGAAAAAGAACCCCCCGCTCGCTTTTGGCATGCAGTAGGGGTGTACGCGCACGCTCGTGATGATTGTTGAGTTTTCACGGCTGGGGGGGCGGTCTTCGGTTTGGGATAAGGGCGCATGGTTCGTGGAGAGGTAGCGCGATACGGAAAATCCTGGTAGGATGTAAGTTGCTCGCGCACTGTCTTGTCTTTGATCAGTAGGGGCGGTTGCCCTTCTTATCGGTACGATACCTGTGTGACACGGTTGACGCTGCTGCCACCGCCGCCGCCGCCGCCACCGCCCCTGCCTACAGGTTACGCGAGTCTGCCCGTCTGCCCCCATGCACAAGATCAGGAAGAGGATGGCAGAGAGCACTCGTGGGGGGAGAGCGGTTGTCGTGGATGGGTCGGGACGATTGCGAGGGATCATTACGAGAACGGACCTGTTGCGGCAGGTATGCCACGTGCACGGGAGATGCACGGCTGTTTGTGTTATTTTTGTTACCGTCAACCGTGCTAACTGGTTGACCAATGAAAATACGTCAGTCTCAAGTGTTGGTGTGTGTATGCGTACCTATGTGGGCGCCGTTTCGTCCAGAGGGGATCCGTGACTGCTGCTGCCTTCTCACTTCGTTGGCACCCACCCCCAGCCGGGTGGTCGGTGTGCACCCAACTCTTGTTGTCTGCCCGCCTTGTGCTTCTGGTCAAGTCCTCGAAACGTTGCTATTGAAGCAAGCCCCCGCTGTTCATTTCGAGAACGACACTTGTACTTTGCCCCCTTGCACGCTGCATGCCGGGATCCACGAGGCCTCCATTTGTTTCTCCCGAGCTGTAGTACATTGTTCGGAGTGGCTTCAGACGTTACGTGCGCGATTGATGGTTCGCAGAACGGTGCTCCTTTCATCCAACAGTATTTTATTTTAGGAAAACGGAAATCGTTGGCCTAGATTAGTTCGCTTTGTTTGTTTTTGAGAAAAACGTCCGTGCACAACCCCTCAAGATTGTACGTAACATTTCTGTGACGTAGCGGCAGCCCACGTGCTGTTCACGTGCCGTGGAATGTTCCAAAAATTACCCTGCGGCTGTTTTTTTACACTTGCCTGGTGGAGCTATGCCCCCTCGAGCGCGTTAGTTGGATTCTTTTCCATACATACCCGCCTGTAAAAATCGAAACAACTTCGGCAAGTAGAGTAACTTGCTCGAACTTTGTTGAACATTGGTATCGTTTTCCACCAGTACGTTTTGAGTACGGGCGCTTCCCGCTCCTACCTGCTGCCTTACACGAATATCGAGGGCACTTTCCTTGCAGATTTTGATGTTCGGGGGAACACACGCGTATTGCAATCAGAGATGAAAGCAACCCTCAATCGTGTAGTTAGGTGCCCCAGCATTGGGTGATAGTTGTCACGGAGAGGCTACGTTGTACGTCCACGGTACATGCCAACCCGGAAGAAAACGTTTACCGTCCTTGAATCCGCAGTACCACTTCTACCGCCAGCTAAAGCGACGAGGACAGGGGCCGCTTCACCGGGAATGGATAGGGGCGGCGGCGCAGCCGGGAGAGGCGATATGCAGCAACCCCGACGCCGACGAGGTTGTATCCGCAGCCGTCGCCGGTTTCTTAGGGTGATCGGGGCGTTCAGGATCTCTGTCTAGACTAGACCATCGGGTCTAGTCTGTTAGAAGAGACTGTGTTGGACGGCAGCCTCTATCTTTCTAGACTGTCAGAACAACAGGTAGCCCTCTAGACTGTGAGGAGAGACAGCATGGTTTGTATTTTCCACCGTTTGCTTCTTGTTTCCGGCCCGTTTGTTGTCGTGGTGTCTGCTTCGTTGGTCTACCATGCGATTAGTCAAGTTGGTCAGTCGCCGTTGGGTGGGGTCGTTCGCTGCTGATGCTGTTATGCCGTCGTGACGCCTCCTCCTGCCTTTCGCGTAGCAAAAAAATAGTTTGGAGGACGGCATTATTGTAGGCGGTTGGAGTGTTGCATTTTATCGAGACGTGACCTGCACTCTCATCTCGAGAGTCCATCTCCGGAGATCACTCAGAGCTACCCCCCGCACTTCTGAACCTCTACTTTTGCCTTCGGCTGACTTAGGCTGAGGTTTTTAAGGTTATGTGACACAATGGCCGCTATTCATACAGGGTTTTGTGTAAGGGTGCTCAACCGGGCTCACAAATGGTGCTAAAGTTGTTAGATTTTCAGGTTTTTGGGGCTCATAGCGAAGTTCTTAAGCGCAGACGCTGTCTGTATCCCGGCCGTGTTCCGGACGAAGCTCGGCATCCGTGCCGGCCGCTCCGCTGTACGTATGACCGCTGTTAGGCAAGGGCGGAGAGAGGGCATGTGTGTTTGTTCTCCCTCCTGGCTAGCACTACTACAGCAGTACTGTACTGCCGTTGGCAGTGGACTTGCGGGGGGTGTGGTGTTGGATGTGTCTCTAGGCTAGCTGCTGCATCAAAGGTACACTGTTGAAAACTTTCGTTGTGTGAGTGTGGTTCGTAGGCCGTTTACTTTTATACTCCGCAGTATTGTAGAAACAAACGCATCTTCAGAGAAAGGGGGGAGAGCTCGAAGATGGAAGGATGAATGAACAGCTGTTGTTTTACCCTGTGATATCGGTGCGTTCTGGAGCACTTCCGGCACAGGCAACGGATTGGGCTGCTGTCTTCATGGCTGGATTTATTGGGAAGAGGGGGTGACGTGTTTTGGCTAGTCGGCTGGTGTAAACTACACCCTTCTTGTATAAATATTGAAGATATGGGGTCTGTCCCATGAAATGATTGCGTGTCTGTTTTGAAGTTTTAACGTAGTCCAACGAAGCAAAAATCTGAGAGGCACCCACCTCTCTCTGGCGGTTCTGGCCGCCGCCGTTTTGCGTCGATGTGGTTCAACACCCGCACACACACTACCGGTCGACCCGGTGGTGGTCTAGTGGTTTCCTCGTAATCCGCTAGTCGCAAAGGTCGTGAGTTCGATTCCCCATCGGGTGAAAAAATTGCGAAATATGCGGGTGAAAGCGAAATATAGCGAAAAAGCTCTCGTGAGTACCAAACTTCGACGTTCGCACCGTTGACGAGGGAAAGGAACGGCTGGACCCTTCTCGCGATAAAAAAAAATAATCAGCACGCACCGCAGGAGGAAGGTGTGGCATGAAAAGAAATAAAAAGAAGAAAAAAGCCCTGGTGTTTACCCCCTCCTGTGTGACCCTGGATGGTTGTAGTCGTACAAAAAAATACACTGAAAGNCGCACCGTTGACGAGGGAAAGGAACGGCTGGACCCTTCTCGCGATAAAAAAAAATAATCAGCACGCACCGCAGGAGGAAGGTGTGGCATGAAAAGAAATAAAAAGAAGAAAAAAGCCCTGGTGTTTACCCCCTCCTGTGTGACCCTGGATGGTTGTAGTCGTACAAAAAAATACACTGAAAGGTGTAGTACTCTACATACGCTGACAAGTGTAGTACACGTCTCACCACGAAAAATGGGGGAACTGTCGCCATAATCGAAAACACACACACACAACACACACTTGTTTGTGCGCCCGGAACCACTCCATTACCAACCGCAGGTGTGGCCTTTAAATTTTGATCGGGGTCTAGACTAACAGTTGGGAATCGAGTGGGGTGGCAGGACGAGGCGAAAGTCGTAGCCTTGCACCAGATGCGGTGGCGATCGGCAGCGAGAGAGACATGCACGGGGTGGGGGCAAGTGAATGCGAAGGGGAAACTGACGACCGAATAGGTTTCCAGGCAAGGGAGGGGAGAGAGGGGTACAAGATTGAGCGGTCCTACGCGTACCCATCGGTCGTATCACGTGACACAGCCAGCCAGCCCCCTTCCGTTGCGTGGCGTATGGAAGTATAGCACTCAATCCACAAACGCGAGCTGAATAGGTTCAGCCTTAAGGTGGAGCACAACCCTCAGAGCACACCTCTNGAGCCCCCCCCCCCCCTCCCTGGTTAAAGGTCGACGGTCTCGGCCCGGTTGGAGGGGATGAAGTTCGGGGCTTCAACTCTATTTCCTAGGAAAACTTTCGGGGGGCCCATTGGGCGCCAATTAGATATTCTCGACTAAACGCGTGTGGTCCCAGCCTGCGTAGCTGGGAACGAAAGCACGCGCACGCGTGTTCCTGCACCGCTCGCCTCTCAGCCAGCAGGGGTGAGAAATTGCGTCATCGTAAATTCACTTTGGCCGTGCCGCTGTCCCCGATCGAACAGGCTGTTCCAGAAAGTTTTGCAGTACCACTTGTATAACTGGCGCAGTACGGGGCTTTGCAGTGAAAAGGGGGCCCGCGGACCTGATTCTTTACAAATATCAAGTAGTTTGGGGGAAAATCAGGATGGCGAATACTTCATGACACAAAAGTTAAAAACTTCACGCCGTTTCTAGGAGTCGTTTCTAGGAGTCGTTTCTAGGAGTTATTTAGACTTTGAAATTTTGCACACAGGTTCATTGGGTTGGTGCGAAACGCTGTGCGGTGGGGCCTTTTTTATTTTATTCCATGGTCGCCGGTTATTCGGGGTCCTAGGAGCAGCACATGACCCCGAAAACTCTAGGACCCCGGATATCCGTCAACATGGGAAAAAAAACAAAAGGTCCCTCCACACAGCGTTTCGTACCAACCCAATGTACGTGTGTGCAAAGTTTCAAAGTCTAACTCCTAAAAACGGCGTGTAAGGCTGACTCTTATGGCAAACGAAAGTTTCCCACGGAACGGATTTTTTTTTTAATATCCGTGGCATGTACATCTTATGGGCACGGATGCGGCGGG